TATACGACATGACCACAACATGCACATACCAGATATTTTCAAGGTTCTGAGTGTATTCAAAGTCTACATCGAAAGCTTCCTTGGACTTCCAAACCACCAAAATTGGCCAACATATGAAGGATTCACTCTTTGCCATGACGAGACAATGCAAAGGAATAAGAAAGGGCGTCCAAATAGTACAAGCATTAGAACCGAAATGGACGATCTTGAGAAAGAAAAGAGAAGATGTGGAATATGTCGAGAAATTGGCCATATGCGTAGAAAATGTCTGAATGTAGCAGGCCCGTCAAATCGGCTCGTCTAATTTACTTTATTTGTTTTTTAAATTATTTTTAAAAATATTTCTTAAATTATAATGTCTATTATATAAGTTATTAATACTTTAAATCATGTAATGAGTTTTTAATATTTAAAAAACAATTAAATATATAAAATCATAATAAATATTTTATATTTATATTTAAAATATAAAAAAAAAGACCTTCAAAGGGTCGGCCAATGGTTGGCCGAGCCCCTTCATGGAGTTGTGTTTTTCATAGGGTCGTTCAATGGAAGGACGAGCCCTTTTAGAAATCGTGGCATATTGGTCAATGTTTTTCAACTTGTGGCATATTGGTACTTTTGATTTCAGTTTGTGGCATATTAGCAAAAAACTCGGTTTTTGTTCACGAATCATCGATCCAAATTACCACTTATTTTTATTTTTATTGAATTTATTATTAACACTTAATGGGGTAGGTAGTTTATGAGTAAAAATTGAATCTTAAGTTAAACCCTTTGAGAAGAAGTGTTAACCGGTACTTAATACAACTTTAATTAAGACTAAAATTCATCTTATACAAATTTTGAAAAGAAAAAATTTTATGACAAATTTGATCCATTATATGTAATGTGTTATAAAATATATATAATGCTCTATATTTACATATATCTCAATAAACATTATATATTTTTTAGTAAAGTGATCATTCTCTTCTCTTGTACATTGAAATGGACTTTTCTTTATGTGTTATTGATTAACTGGAATTTATTGATAAATAATGAAATTGTTCTGGACTGGGCCGACGCTTGACCCATAGCCGAGTAGGCTCAAACCCCACCAGGATGGAAGGTCCAATATGACCTCATCGTCGGGCAGAGACCTATCGGACATAACATCTTCTCCCGTCGGGCACGGACCAACGGCGGCCGAGTAGGATTCTCATAGTTGTTCGACTCGCCTTTCTTCTACCCCACGGTCGGGAAAAACCCATCCATCTCGGGAAGCTCCTCTGACCTCCCCCACGTTCTCAAACGTGTTCCCTACGTAGAGACATGTCATTAGGTGACTATCCGTGTCCTGATTATTCAGTCCTCTACCTCCCGAATAGCATGGAACAGTTACACTAGGGCGAAGACCATGTGTTAGTCTTCACGACGCCACGTCAGCCCTAGCAGTTACCAGCGTTAGGCCTGACAGCACAACCCAATGCCTAGTAACCGTTGGCCTTGCGCTGAGGGATCCTTATAAATACCCTCTTCCACTAGAGGGTCAGGTAATCTAATTCTCACTCCTTTCTATCTGTACTTGTTATCACTATGCTCGTCCCTTACTTTGGCATCGGAGTGTGTTTCAAGTACACCCCCCTTTGTCCGTCAAGTCAACAGTTTGACAGCTCAGACGCATAGCCAACCGACGATCTCTCTGATCAGGTACGATCAAAAATGATCTTTTAATTTTTTATCAGGGTGGTGGAGATGTATCGACAAGTCCTCCACCGCTCAAAGTCAAAGTCAAGGAGGACCTTAAATGTGAAGTTTTAAAGTTAGAATTTTGTATATCTGATATTGATTTGTTGTCTGACTTTTATAGTATGGTCCTAGAATTTTCAATAACCTAGAAGTTTTTTTTTCTACAACTATCTCAAAAGACAAATGTTAGGAGATTCTTTGAAGTACAATCTGAAAAAATATATAGTCATGTTATAGCTCTAGTCAGGTATATTAGGAAAACAAAATCTCAAGGTTCAGTGATACCAGAACCTTCTTTGTGGACACTTGTTCTAGAGGAGTGGTGTTAGTAGGCCTAATTGTCTTTTAAATTCAACTACTTTTGGAAGCTTTTCATCATCTATCAGTTGTGATACTAGTGTGACAACTACATTAAGACTTTTTACAAGGAAAAGTTTGTAGATACCTTCACGTCAAATTGAATTGTGGGATATTTTACAAATGCTTGACCTCATTTGATGAGCAAAAGAAAGGTTGGCATGTTTGGCCCCTTATGCCACATGGAGACATTTTCTTTTATGTAAACTAATTGATTTGCGCCTGGTTTGACAATTGTGGACAATTTTGAAAGAGTAATCCTATATCCTCTTAATTGAGACTTATGTGATCGACGTCAATGGCCTTTCAAGAGTCGGATTATAGAGTCACATAATATGGACATGATTCAAAGAGTCATAACATTACCTTGAAGAGACTCGGGGTAGTGTTGATGAGATATCTCGGTAAATTACCCATGACCCTTGGCATTTCCCCTATTGTCACATAGTTTATAGCCCCTTGGCTAAAGGTCTTAGATTGATGGGTGATTTATTTGTATCCAGATAAGTCAAGACGTGATAATTGTATTTTTAGGGAGTGATTATATTAATGTTATGTAACATTTGTTCCTTAATGGCCTATGAGGCCCTCATGTGTTGATTGTCGAATCTAGCCTCTTAGCCTTCTTTGCCATTGGATCTGACTAATTTGTTTCTATAAAATGAGAGTTTTCTTTCCACCATGTTCTTTCTTTACTATCTTAACTTCCTTGGTTATTAAATTTCATAACTCCTTTGAGTCTCCATATGAGTTCTCATAAGTTTTTGTGCTTTATTTTATGATGTATCATTGCTTACTTCAAGATTTTTCTTCTCATATTTCCCTACTATATGAATTCTTGCATTGATAAACATGTGTATCTTTTGTTGTTTTTAAATTCATTTTTTATTCATGTGATTGGTAATTATGCATCCATCTTTAGACAATAATTTTGCGGTCAATGGTAGAGGGAAACCATCCTCTAATGTTAATTCTCTTGGTGTTCGCCTATCTTCCCTATTTATTCATTATGACCATATGTTTCTCAGACTCACTATTTCCTCGTGTAGACAATTCAAGTATGGATGAGGCATTTTAATACCCTTTGGGATGACGTGTTATAATTACTCTTATGGAAAGTTTAAGAGATCATGTGGTTCTTATTTAGGGGTGCAAAATAGGCCCAACTCATTAAGAATGCCTGTTTTTCCTGCACTTTTTTGTGGGTCGGCCAAGGGTTTAGGTTTTCACCTTCTAATGTGTCACGTCCTACCCCCGTCCTATTCTTTTGTGTTATTTTGAGGGAAAAAAATATTAGCATAAAATTTTGCATTTTTATGCTTAAAAGGTGCAGTGCCCGTAGGCTCTCCTGACCGCCCACTATATTTTTTTGCAGGATTTTGCGGGGCGGACATACTCGTTTTCCACCCCTAATTTTATTTATCTAGGAATTCTCTCATTTTACTTCGAGCTTGGTGGGGTAGTACCCCCTTAACCCCTACCCTTTTTGTGAGCAAACCTTTAGAATTTCCCGTGGAAAATTCCGCCCCAAGGCTCACATCAGCGTCCGTTATCTTAGCTCTTGTTTTCTAATGTAAGATGTTGTGTTTTAGGAGTACATAATTTGATTTTATTTTAACTTTTTTGAGCAATAACTTTTGATGACCCTTTTGTTGGCTCATTCATAAGTATATCCACCTTGTTAGGCTTACATTAATAGCTTGCAGGTCTTCTGTTTATTTCAATGTATGTAGGTTATAAAGCTTCATGTGTATTTGATGAGAAAAAAATAGTAAATCTAAGTAAATCATAAACATCCATAATATAAAGATTAGAAGTTATCAAAAAGAGAAGCTGCTCAAATTTTAAGTGTTGAGAGCAAAAATAATCAAAATACAAAGATCAGCATAAAAAGGAGTTGAAGTTGTGAAAGCTCACATGGTCCCACACTTATTACTTTATCTTTTTTTTATCAGTAGTGTGTATAATGAACAAGAGTAATTCTTGAGGTACTTAGACAATGCGCACGCACACGTACACACACACATACACACACACACACACACACACACACACACACACTTACGCGCACACACACGCACACACACACACACATACACACAACAAAGGGTATTTTTAGATCTCCATCTATTTCAAAATCTCTTGAATAATATCTTATGGCTTTTACCTGATTGATTAAAGAAATGCCTTAACTTGTTAGGAAAAAAGAGTTGTAATGTCTAATCAATTAGAGCTTGCATCTAATTGGTAAAGGACCAAGCTCGTTACCTAATCCATTAGGAACCCTGTTAATCAATTATAATGAGCTCGTTACCTAATATCTTCTCCTTGCGTAATCGATTCGCGAACCTGAATATGGTTGTGACAACCACTTTTTTAAGAGTTTTATCGATATTTTTCCGTTCCTTCTATAAAATAAATAAAGTTCGGTGACGACTATGTTTGAATCATTTTTTGCGAGCGAGTGAACACTTTACGAATAATCGTATTTTTGAAGTACGACAATGTGTTCTTCAGAGCATGTCCATCTTAAAGTTCTATAATATTAGAACCTTTTTAGTAGACAACTGATATATTAAACTGACATTGGTGAGTCTAATTGTTTATGAAATCCTATATTATTTTAAAATTTGATCATCCTGATCTAATGCAATACTATGAAGTAACAATATTTATGGTCCTATAAGCTCGGATGATGTGTACTTTGAAGGTATGTCCATCTCAAAGTTTTATAACATTAGAATCTTCTTAGTGAACAAATGTAAACTTAACACGTTTTTATCATTTATGGACGGATAGAAAAATGGGAGATGGGTTTTGTTATCGTGTTCAATTATTAGCCACACATCCGCCATATGGACTCCTAGCATGTATAAACATCATCAATGGGATTGAAGTAAATTAAAAACAATATGGCTGCTTCATTCTATGCAATAGTTCTATCCATTTCCTTAATAACAATCTTTTTCTTCAAAGTGAACTCCATAGAAACCAAAACCAAAACCACTTTCTTTTCCATCCCCAAGTTTGTCTCAGACCAGCCAAATCTAATCTTGCAAGGCGATGCCTATACGAAAAATAACAAGTTGATACTGACCAAGGCAGTAGAGAACACTGTTGGCAGAGCTCTCTATTCTGCACCAATCCATATTTGGGATAGCAAAACAAGCAACATTGCTGATTTTACAACATCCTTCACTTTTCTCATAGATGCACCTAGAAATGTCAGCATTGCCGACGGATTTACCTTCTTCATCGCACCAGTGGATACTAAGCCGCAAACAGGTGGTGGATATCTTGGAGTTTTCAATAGCATAGAGTATGATAAAACTGTTAGATTTATCTAATATTTTATGGGCTACAATCAATTGTGGTTTAATTTGTAAAAAACGGGTTAATCGTGATTCTGATGGGGGTGCATATATAAGCCCTTTAATTAATTAAGTGATCAATTTTTAACTAATGGCTGAGTATCTGAAACCTGATTGGTGTGGGTAAAAGTGTGGGCTTTAACCTTGGGCCCATAATGGGTAGGGACTAGGGTTATATATATTATATGGCTAGGTCCCTCTGTAATCACAAAAAGAATCAGAAACATAACTGACGGCTCCATAACTTGCCCCATTGAAAGTTGTGAACGGGAGTGTGAGATACAGAGGAAGATCCGGTCATTCATCCATTCGGAATTCTGAATCATGACTTCAACAAGTAAGTATTGATGTTTTAATCTCATATAATATCCATGAATATTTCCGCTTACATTTGGTATCAGAGCCTAGATTATATGAGTTAGGACTCAATTATTTATTATTATTTTTGTGAATACGAATTGATGGTATTATATTTTTTATTGTCGTAATAAATTTTACCATTACGGAACTGCTCCATAAATAATATGAAAATTGGAATTGATATTTTGTGATTACTAAATCTATGAAGTATATATGGAATCGAAAATCTTTTATGTATTTATTTTAATTGGAATTGTTGCATACTTCTTCAAAATTCATATGGTGAAAGTAATAGTGTTCTGATAGTACGTTATTTTTCAATTGCCCTTTATTTTGGATCAATTAAAACAATATATATGATTCTTTGGTTACTGAAATGCAAAATACGTGAATGCCGTCAATAGTGCCGATAACTTTGTTTATCTGGTGTTTCTTTTGCAAACAGGTGGTGGATATCTCGGAGTTTTCAATAGCATAGAGTATGATAAAACTAGTCAAACAGTTGTTGTTGAGTTTGACACGTTCTATAATAGTGCATGGGATCCAAGCGACGGAGACCGACACATTGGAATCGATGTTAACAGTATCAAATCCAAAAGTACTAAGTCGTGGATTTTGCAGAATCGTGAACCGGCTAAAGTTGTGATACAATTTCGTGCTGCTACTAATGTGTTAAATGTTTATTTGACTTATCCTAATTCAATTAGTTATACTCTTAGTGAAATTGTGTCTTTGAAGGATGTTGTTTCTGAGTGGTGAGGGTTGGTTTCTCAGCTACCACTGGAGAACAATATGCAGCACAAGAAGTTCTTTCATGGGCTTTTTATTCTGAGTTGAGTGGAGCTTCAAGTTCTAACCAAGCTGCAGATGCATAGTTTTCAGCTTCTCATCATCATGTGTGATCGATCAACTTCTATAAATAAACTGCGCATGTATATGCATGCATTACTTGTAATGTTATTATGTATCACTTGATGTATTTTCTATTTGGGTATGTAAGGAATCTTTTTCCCTAGATGGTTCGATAACCCAGGGAAAAGGTCCATCATGGACACAAACTTTAATTTCCAACAACAACATATTTATGTTTTATTCATTAAAAAGTGGTTCCTTTCTCATACTTTTATATTTAATTTAATTAAATTACATTTCCCTTATTGTTATCGATTATGGGGATATGTAATCTAGTTTTGTCTATAAACGAATCTTTATCGTCCATTTATAATTTAACAATGGTCAAGACATTGTGAAGACATCCATATCTATATGAAACATTAGTGATCTTTGTGAAACCCTCAATCAAAACATGAACGTACAAGGATATATCTTAGATGAAAATCCCTTAGAAGGCAATATAATGAAAGCATTTGGATTGAAAATAATGAAATACAAACTTAGAGAAATGTGGAAATAATTTCTAGGATGGATTGCAAGAGTAGAATAAAGTTATAGATTAAAGATTGGTTCCTTATACACAATCTTCTATCTTGTAAAATCTAACATTATTTTCTTCATCTTAAATTTATTATTTTTATACCAGAAACAAATACGTGCAAAACCATTGAACTTGAAAAGCAATGGGTATGCAACAAAATTTATACTTTCAAACGCATGATGATGATGATGATTTAGAATTTATCAACAAATTTTTATATTGTAGAATAAAACAAAAATAATGTATAAAAAAATTAGCAAACAAGATATATGTGTGTGTGCGTGCATGTGCCCGTGCATTCGTGTGTGTGTGTGTGTGTGTGTGTGTGTGTGTGTGTGTGTGTGTGTGTGTGTGTGTGTGTGTGTGTGTGTGTGTGCGTCGTGCGTGTGTGTGTGTGTGCATGCGCGTGTGAAAACATGGTTACAATATAAACCTAGAAACATACTGATGGCTTCAAGATGAGCAACAAGAGAAGAGTCTTGAGCATATTCTTGTGCCAAGTTGAGATTTTTTTTAGAGATAATCTTAACTTGGCCTCCACCATGATCATTATCACTGACAATTATTCTCAGGGGTTACATCATCATAATGTGGAGCATTATGGGGAACAATATCTAGAACGTGTTTCTTGACATACAACTTATACCTGATATTCAACACACCAAGAAGAACACTAAACATAATACCTTAATTTTGAATCGTGAAAATTCCAGAATTAATAGGAAGAATTATTCTATAATCAGTTATCTTCTTTAACTTCTTCTTCTGGACCAGTGTAGGTTGTTCAATGTTGGGAGGACCTCCAGCCTGACCATATGCTTTTTCTTCAATGAAAACTCCTTGCATGGTCCCATAAAGTTCATAATCGGTGATATCATCTTGACTTACTTCCCAGCTTGACAAATTTGACCTTTTCCAAGCTTGGCATTATACAAAAACTCGATAACTCTATTTGAAACAATGTGACTTATTTTAAGTGCGATCAAGAGCTCATGAGGAAGAACCTTTTTCACACATTCCCAATATTCATTGTTCCATGCATAAACAAAGTGCAGTAGGAGTCATTGGATGACTTGCATTTTTATTCTTCAATCTTTGCATTATGTTCATACCATAAGCATTATCGTCCAATTGATTTACTTTACAAAGACATAAGATCTTTCTTGAACGTTTTTCCTTAAGGTTAGGCATTACATGTTGAACACAATGTTGCACCATTTTGTTTGACACTCCATCAAACACATCTTCAGTTCATGAGACTAACCCCCATAGACTCACACCCATAATTTTTATCAAGAAATCATAATTAAAATCTTCCTTATCGACCGATGGCTTAATAAAGCATGAATTGGTAATCACATTTCTGACTCCATCATTTATGATATTTTCAACAAGGTGAACTGTCAGACTTTTGGATGAAGTTTCCTCATTGGCTGAAAGACTTTCAGCATTCTTATTGCCAGAAGTGATCTCTGATCCTTGAGTAGGACATCTGTTGGAGAATCATATACTTTGAGCTATCTTTCTTCCATTACTCTCTCTTCTTTAGGTATGATGATTTCAGAACTGTTGAGGTTACTATTCATGTACCACAACTTGGTCTCACTAACCTTGGATGACAAACATGTTGAGGAAACATTTCTAGTTTGAGATATCCACATGTAGCATTTGTTCTTAGACCTTAAGCCTTTCGTTAACAAGCCTCATTTATTGCATGTGACAACATATTTAGTCTTGTTGATCAACACGTTCAAGTTTGCAGCAAAACCTTTTACTAGAAGAACTTTATCAAGACTAGGGAGATCTAAGACAACCAGTTTTTCTATTCATGTTATCTTTCTTCTAGTTCTATCCCAATATTAACATAACTCTGAGAGTGGGTCTTAAGATCTTCAATATAGCTCCTTTCGCCAGCCATGTGTTGTGAGCATCCACTGTTAAAATACCAAACCTCTCTTGTAGAGACTTTAAAGGATACACATGCTAAAAGACACATGAAAATTTCCTTGGGCTTCTATACTTTCTTTGCTTGAGTTTTTTCCCCTTTTTTATTTGGCCTTGGCTGACTATAAGATTGAGGATATCCATACAAACTGTAATAAAACAGTCTTATATGGCCATATTTGCAATAGTGGTGACACCATACAAATGATCTCTTTTTTCCCTTGTCATAAGGGGATAAGAAGAAATCACTGGATTTTTTCAAAGAGCTTCATTATCTTCTACATATGTCCATTCAGCTTGAGGCTTCAAACTTGTAGAACCATCTTGAGAAGTAATCGTTGGATATTTCCATCATTTAATAATAACTTTCCATGTTTTGATGTCTATAGATTTGAGAAAGACAACCATTTTAGCTTTTCAATAGTCATAATTTGTGACATCCAAAATAGGTGGCTTGTTGACTGAACCTTCATCTTTGTTGTTGTCTATCTAAACAAAAAATATCTTCCTTGGAGCTCACCCAAATAAAACAGGGTTCCTACTCTGATACTAATTGAAATTTGATTACACAAGGGGCATATGTTAGACCAGATGTTAGGAAAACTTGTCCAACTTCTTATGCCAGATCAGAAATAGTTTGACAACAATAATAAATTAATGTAGAAAGCTATAAAAACACAAGAGAATGGTAACCTAGTTTGGTGAAACCACACCTACATTTGGGTAAATTCACTACTTTGAATTAGTACACTTAGTCTTACAAGAATCAACAAACTCTATGATGTTCAAATCCTCTTCCTAATCCTAGTTACTTTCTATTAGAGGACACCACTTAAATATGAGAATTTACTCACTTTCTTCTCAATTACACAAGTGTGATTGGTGTTTACAACTCAAGAAACAAAGTTTAAATTAAAACTCAACTAAGACGAACCTTCTATTCCAAGTTACTGAAGCATAGAGGTGCACAACAGTTAGATTCCTCACTAATCCTGTTAGGGAATTAACTCTGAATACAAGTAACACAGACTCAAACCCTAACACAAAGAACCTAGTTCTTATACACCAAAAGTCTTGACCAAAAATGAGAATTGAGCGTCCTTATATAGAAATGTTTTTTGGGCTTTTATCAATGGGCATCTGCAATTAATTCGTCCAAAATCTCAACTGAATAAGTTGGATATGATTTGCTCCTCAAATTTGTCCAAAAAGATATGATTTGTTTATATTTCAAATTCAAATTTAAACCATATTTAAATCTGATTTGAACATCTCTAGCTGTCAAACAAATCAATAAAATATTGCTAAAATAAAAGCATCAAATCTGATTAAAAACCAATCATAATAAAATGCATAAAACAATATTCTGCATGGCCTGCTGTAAAGGCCATATGTTGAATAGCACATGCTAGAACATCGAGTTCAGCATGTTGCACTGGTACATCTAAATCATGTTTTCTCCTTGACTTGCAGATCTTCTGTTTCCAAAAGACCAGATGTTGCAGCCCATATGTTGGAATATCATGTTCAACATGTGTTCCTTCTGCACCAGAACCAGCTTGAGCAAACTCCGTGTTTTTTTGCATAATGCATAAAAATCCCAAAAAGACCAACACAAACCAAATCGAGGTTTTAAACAGAATAACCACATACCAAATTGAGATTTTAAAATAGTCTTGTTGAACCAAAATAAGCTTTTAACACAGGTCGGGCTTACGAACAAAAACGACAACTTAAGAACCTAAAACCCCAAACAAAGCTTTTAAAGGATTTAGCTTTTGAACCCAAACATACACTCCTTTAATGATAAATTAGTCAACCAAGAGAAAAACGCTCATTGGTGAATTTTTAATAACCAATTTCCAGAATACAAACTTCCTCACTAAACATAAAGACTTTATCAAAGCGCTATGGTTAAGTTAAAGTGAGAGAAGGTAGTAAAATATTTTAAATAGAAAGTGAGGAGTAAGATAAAGAGGATCACATTTCTGGAAGTGAAAACGTGAAGGGAGAGACCTCTATTTATAGGCTAGATATTGGTACAAAAAAGGAAATATCCATGGGCCAAAATTAATGTGCCAATCAATTTTATAGATTTTCCTTTCCACCAGCCCAAAATATCAAATAAAGGATCCTTAAGATCTTCATTTTCATCTCCAACATACCTCTCTAATTAATTCTTTTTTACATAAAAAACAACACCATAATAGGATTGAAAGCATAACAACTAAAATACAACAATAACAACAAAGGACAACAATACACATAAATTAACATACTTCACACCATAAACACACATCAAGACTATTTTGTAACAAGACTAAAAGAAATTTCGTTGAAGAAGAAGAAGCAAAAAAGAGATGAAAACTAACTAAGAGAA